GGGCCCCGCCCGGTATCGGACTGAAGTCTGGTATACATATAAACATATCAACAAAGCATATAACATAAACACACAACATAGACATATAATCATTCCTCGGGCTTGCCCCGACATCGGACCTAAATCCGGTAACATATAACGTAACATATAAGCTAAACATTCCTCGGGCTTGCCCCGACATCGAACCGTGGTCCGAAACATATAAAAAAATACATGCAAGAATCATGAAGACATCAAGCATACAAACATTCATCGGGCTTGCCCCGACATCGGACCGAAGTCCGGAAGCATATAAACAGATAAACCTACATCGGGAACTGCCCGACATCGGACCGAATTCCGGCACAAGCTAACATACATAAACGGGCCGGTATTGGTGCCTTAGACCCGTTCCTAGGAGGAAAACTCACCTCGCAAAGCTGACAACTGAATCGTGAGGAATCTCTAGTGGCTGCTCCAACGACTCCCCGACTATCATAGTCATAACAACACTTTGTCAAAATTCCATAATCCTTCTTAAGGTAAAATGACCATTTTACCCCTAATTTCGGCCATAACCAAGGTCCATTCCCATCTAATCTCTCCAAGCCCTCTAATTGCCCACTAATGGCCCAATTTTCTAAATTGGGCCTAACTCCTCAAATGGGCCTTTCCCAAAGCCCAAAATATATCCTTGACCCAATAACTAACTCCTTATGGCCCATTAAGGCCCAATGGCTGAAAAGTCCAAGATTTGGCCCAATCTGAGGCCCAATAACGTGAAGCCCAAAACCTGAGAGTACGATGAGCGTACTCCTCTGTACGCTACGCGTACAACTTGTATGGCTTGTATGTTGCGCGTACTGGCGTGTACGCCCAACGTACTACCCTGTTAAGCCATAAACATCAAAAGTGCTTATTCCATGAAGACATTAAGTCCAAATTACAGATCTGAGTCCCTTAGCATGTCTTAACTCATAAATCGGTTACTTGGTGGCTTGCAACCCACAAAATAAACCCAAAATTGGAATATAGCAACTAACTTCCATGGAAATGCTAGATCTCATGCATGGCCACAAATGGACCTTAAAGATCGAAACTTTACTGCTTATGGGACCCATATATCACTAAGGGTGGCAACCCTAGACCTAGAAACGAGCTTGAGTCATAAAGATCTATTCTCGGGACTAAAAAGATCCCAAAACATCACTACACTAGATCTAAGCATACATGAGGAAAGTTGAAAGCTTTATACCTCTAATGAGTGCCAAATGGTGAGGTAATCTCAGATCCTTGAGCTCAAGATACTCAAGTTCTTCTTCTCCAAATTCTCTTTACTTTTTCCAAGCTCCAAATCACCAAAGTAAGCTTCGAAAGGACAAGCACACACAAGAATGGAGTAAGAGAGGGTATCTAGGGGTTTTGAGGTTGAGAGGTTGGTAAGGAGGCTAGGGTTTGAGTCATAATGTTCTATTTATATGGCTTAAACCCCAAAAATTATGGTTTGGAATCTACTCACGTATGTTGCGCGTACGTGCATGCGCTCCCTGAATCCAATGCTCTTCTACGCACCGCGTAAGCCAGGCTTACGCCCATCGTACGTCTTCTGGGCAGCCCAACTATATGGCCCACTCACTAAGTCCACTCAATAATCCATTACTCATTCCAAGCCCAATAAATAGATTACAAATACTTTAAAAGAATAATTACTACCTCAAGTGACGGATGTTACCAAGTTAGTATTGGGCCTGTACTACTGAAAGCACAAGATCTATAATCGAATCAAGGAAAGTCACGAGGATTTTGAGAAGCGTATAGGATGAGGAATTCTTCGGGTATGTTTTGATCATTTGTATGGTTACCTTTCAGTATGGTGATGAGCACTCGTGGAGGAGGTTCTGGTTCAGGCTTAGGTTCTAGTGTTGAGTCGATTGATAATAGGATACACGAGTTTATTAGATCTGATATCGTTCGCGGTATTTCAGATGCGACTCCTGTGATGTTTGGTACCATCAAGGAGGGGATCATGGAGTTGTTGGATAATCGACTTGGGGATTTTTGTGCAGAGATTGTGGTTGGTATGATCGAGGCACAAACTCTTTCTTTTCAGGAGTTCAAGTCTTGCGGAGCCTTAGAGTTCTTCAGGAATAAGGAACCTATTACTAGTAAACAGTGTATTGTTGACATGGAGAATTCTCAATAGACTAGCTTCTGACCTGAGGAATCGAAAGTGGGATTTTCATCTTGCCATCTAAGGGATGGAACCTGTGATTGTTGGAGGAGGTTGGTCATTCTTTGGGAGCTGAGGCCGTGGTGGTCATGTATTGGACAAATTTTATGTCGAGATTCAGGGAGGAGTTTGCACCTGCCGTTGAGGTGTACCAGTTGGCGAGGGAGTTTTAGGAAATATCACTAGAAGACAGAGACTGTAGCGGTGATTACCGCCAAGTTCAGGGAGATGGATTTACTGGTTTCGCGGTATGTTGCGCATGGGGAGATGAAGAAGATGAGGTACCATGATATGTTGAAGAATGATATCCGAGAGTTTGTGAGCCTATCGAGTTGTAAGACCTTGGATGATATGATTGCCAGAGCCCGAGAATGGGAGATTGAGTTAGAACTTCAAATGAAGTGGAAACCAGTTTCGGTTCAGACAACAGAAAGATTAGTGAAAAAGCCCAAGACTTTCGATTCATGACCTAAAGGCAAGCACCGCCCGGGCCATTATGGCAAGTGCGGGAAACCGCACATTATGGGGTGTATCGATCTAAAGGTATGGGCTGCTACACGTGTAGTGGGATTGGTCACATTAGCATGGATTGTCCACAGGGATCGAGTCTAATCTATTTTCACTGCGATCAGGTGGGCCAAAAGAAGGTTGACTGCTCGAGAATAATTAGCGGAGCGGTGAGGGCACTTGCTCTTGCTACACTGAGGATTACTGATGGTGGTGAGGACAGGGAAGAGGCTCTAGTGGTGAGGAGCCGAGCATTTTACTTGTAGGACGAGGATGCCTCAGCGGTGAGGGCACTTGCTCTTGCTACACTGAGGATTACTGATGGTGGTGAGGACAGGGAAGAGGCTCTAGTTGTGAGGAGCCGAGCATTTTACTTGTAGGACGAGGATGCCTCAGCTTCACCATATGTTGTCATTGGACGTATTGTATTCATTTCCTTCTGCTTTTATTATTTATGATTATGATAATGTGATTATTGTGTGTGAGACTTAATGTTCAAGGTGTCTAAGTATCCACCTAAGGTTCAGGGTTTCCTTTATGCTTGTCTAGTTACTAATATTCCATAGATTGTCATATATCATTTTGCATACCGAGAGTCATTTTTAGAGTGTATATGGATTATATAGGTTTTAGGCTTCGACGTGGGAGACATCGGCCAATGATAGATTGAGAACTAAGTGGGGGAGAATTAGGTCTTTTGCCTGGAGGGTCAGCAACCGGATTCATTTTGTGGTTTCAGTGCAATGGGTCTAAGGAAGTTGCAGTGTAAGTATATTGGATTTTTGAATTCGGTATTCTAGAGATCTTTCATGGTTGCGAAGTAATGAGGGATTGGTCAGACCGTGAGTGTAGCGTTAGTTGTTGTCAGGTTCATGCCCTCAGGGTTGTGTGTGTAGTCCTTGCATCGGAAGCTGTTAGGTGAAGATCTCGTTATGGTCAGTTGTTCCTTGCTAGAACATCGAGGATAGGGTTATAAGGTGATTGGGCTGCTCAGGTTGAATGTCAATTGAAGGGTCGATTGGATCACTGAACCGACCGCCATCCTTAGTAAGGGAATAGTTGTTATTGATCTATCATCTAACTTCAGGGCATGATTGATGCAGTTTCGCATGAGTTTTGTTAATTACTAGGTGAATTATCGGATATGTTATCTATCCAATTTCGATAGTTGGTTTATTCATTCTTTGTCATCGGTTGAGTTTGTTTGAGGATATTGGAGTTATATCAGTAGAAGGAGCTTTGGAAGCGTCAATCTTTCGTCGAGTCTAGTGAAGTGTATATCCTAGTTTTGGGGTGTGTGTACCTTAGATTGTTTGGTCATGAAATATTAGTTCTTGCAAGATCAAGTTAGTGGTGGTCTTGAGTAGTGAGCTTGTGGGATGGCTTGGGAATTCGAATGGTTATAAGGTTGGCAAAATGTAGTAGGATCCAAGTGGGGGAGAATCGTTTAGGATTAATGGGAATATTTCCAAGTGCGAGTCAAATTTGAGTTTCGCATCCAAAGGCAATAGGATATCCACTTCTCGTTATGGTATGATTCTATGCTTATGCAAGGAATAATGTTCATTGATCAGTTGTAATCAGAGGAGTAAATGTTGAGGATTCAAGTTGTCTTGTATGAAGATGTAAAGCATCGGCAACAGTGGATTTTGGGTACTTGTGTAGGTGCGGGTTGAGGGTTGTATGGGAACCTCCATGCCTATTTTTGTCTAAGTGAGGCTTTGGGGTTTGAAGCGCGACCCAAACGCGTGATAGGATCCAGCTGGCTAGTGTTCGGCTTGTGTTGATTCTGGCTGAGTATCTTGGTGAATAGTCGGCAAGACCATAGTGAAGGGCTCATGGAAATCGCAAGAACCGTTATCTTTGTGATTCTTGCATGGAAGACCACGAGGTGGATCTTGACAGTTGTACGTATGACCAGGATTTGACTCTTGGTGTAGCAAGAAAAGACCATGATTTGGCTTATGGCTGATAGTGACAGTAAGACTATGGGTGACTCATAACATTCCCTATCTTATCACTACAAAAAAATATCATTTAGTGGCATACAAAAAGTGCCACTAAATACCCAAAAAAGTGCCACTAAATGTTTCAAAGAGAATCAGCGGCACAAATAAAAAGTGTCACTAGAAACGCTCCCACTAAAACCCTTTGGTGACACTTTTCAATTTTGACGCTGCAGTTTTTAGGGTTTTAGTGACACTTTTTTATTTTCCATAGTAGACAACTATTTTGTGGCACATAATTTGTGCCGCTAAAAAATAATTCAACTCTAAAATTGATCCTACTTTAGTGGCATTTTTTTGTTTGCCACAATACAATAAAATATTTTTTGGTATATATTTTTTAACCGCTAATTACATGTGATTCTAGAGTTCATGCTACTTATAGCAACACATTTTTCGCTATAATAATAAATAAAAAACTAATTTAATTGTAGTCCGTAGAAAATAATAATAATTTCATTGTTGTTCATCAATATTTTGATTTCTTTTAAACAAAAGTCTAAGTAAAGTCAAATAAGTCTAAAGTTGCACATGAAGCATCATCACTCACTCATCCAACCAAAAACTATAAGGCAACATAATCAACAAAGGGTAATCTGTATGCAGTTGAAGCATTATCAAAAATTCTTATACCCTGTACACAAATATAATGATCAATGAATATAGTTATATTTAAATAAAGTATTTAAATAATAGTAATATATTTGAAATAACAACAAAACTATATAACTAAAAAGAATATACCTCCTTTATAGCAAGAAGATGAACAGCTCGAGGCCCAATGTTTCCATTGACCAAGGTTGATGGTGGAACTTGCTAATTTCCTTTGTAATACATGTGAACATTTAGAAACATAATATATAAAAAAATAATAACACGTTATCTATAAATGACAAAATATGACACTTAATATTACCATAAAATAAAATACATTTAATTCATAAAACTTATAGCAATAGACCTTTCGATTTTGCTTCCTATGATGTTTCCAATTATTCCACTCGTCCAACTTTATACCTTCAAATTTTACGTAAAATTTGGGAATAATTATTTAATGATAGTCCATGAACTTGTAACATTTTAAATTGTATAGTATTCTTGTAGCCAACAACAATAGTACATTCAAAATCATTAAGTAACATTTGTATTCTTTTACCTATGACCTTGAGAGATCATGCAAAACTATTTAGTTTCACTGCAAGGTGCGATACTTATGTGGTGAAAAGTGCACAATATTATTTTATACTATAAAATAGTTATTGGAATGTATCTTTAGAAAAATGTTATTATATTGCATGTTTAGCTGAGAAATTTGGATTTTCTGTTACTATTAATTTATATTTGTCAGTTATGTGAATACATCAAATAACCATTTCTCATTTCATTTACAAGACTAAAGCCCAAATGATTTATATTTATTTATTAGGCGCTATTAAGTTACCACTTACCTATACAATTATAACTTATGTGACTAAATTAAAAAAGAAAATCTCAAATAATTTAGTAACGATTTATGTTATTATCATTAATAGTTATATTTAATATCGTGTAGTAAAACCATAAGCTAAATATGTTTCAACACTTGAAATATAAGTTGTACTTTAAAAATAAATACATTTTCAGTTTCTCTATAGATTTGATAATCTTAATGTAAGAGTGATGGCTGAAAGTCATGAAACCAAAGTCCCACACAAAAGAGTACTTTGCAAAGATGATGCCTTTTGAATTGTGGGCAAAGTGACAACTCTACAGGCACCAAATAACCTAGGAGGGGCTAACAACATATATTTGATCAGGGGTATTTATGTAAACCTTATTTTTTTTGTTTTCAAAAGATTTATCTTAAAATATGTAAAAGTAGAAAATTTGTGATTTAATCATGGATTTGTGGTCAACTATTGTTAATAACTAGTTAAGCTATGTCTTAAACTATATATGTTTATATTTGCTACCTAGACAAATCCACAATACAATTGATCATGTTGCATCTGTACTAACTATGATCAAGAAAACATACATACACACAAGAGGCGAGAAAGAAGTTTAGTGACATACCTGCCCCCTCCATTCCTTTAATGACAATGGAATGCAGTTTAATAACTTGAGTAAATTGTACATGAATCAAAACTTACTCATCAGTATTATTCTCCCAATTCAGACCCTTATCTTCTTTATAACCCTTCTCTATAACCCTGTTCCACAAAAAATAAAACTATTAATCAAAAACATCATAAGACTTACACCTATGCTTCTTGAAACATTTATTTCATATGAACAACAATGTCAGATATATATGTCACGTACATTTAAATTTGTAAAAAAAGTATCTCAAGAAAAAAATGTTAATGTTCAACTCTCAACAAAATTCTTATCGATGTAGGATAAAAAAGTGGCAGCTATAACCAATTCGGAATGGGAAAAGCATAAGACAACATTGAGATGTTTCAGAAACAAAAGAAATGAGTAGAATAAATCTAAAAACAGTGAATTAAACAACTAAAAGATAGGGGCACATACTTGAGGAAAGATTATAGGAATACCCCCATGTATTGTAGTTGGGTGAGAGTTTCCATGAAGTATAGTTAAAAGAGAGAATTTTGCAACATGATTACCTGCCCACCTGGCTGGCTGGTATGGACGATCAGTTGTGAATACAACTCCTTTTGTTGATTTATCATAATCCAAAAAGGTTTCCACCTGTCAACAACAAAAAACAAAATTCTAGTTATTTTTAGTTACTATTAAGTTATCTTGATTTAAGTAAATGAGACATTGGTTTAATACATACATCACAGCTATGATTCAGCATATCTGCCCAAGGGACTAAGGCTACCCTTCCATCTAGTGAGGGTAATCGAACCTATAACAGTAACAAATAAGATCCAGAGCATTCACTTAATAATAATAATATAAAGATTAGTAATTACAAGTTGTTATGTTAACTCACCAATCTTGAAAAAAGAATACCAAATTACCATCTAAATGTTTCCATGTTGAACACCTCTTCTGGAAATAAATTAGGATGCTTGGAAAAAATTCTATCTCTCATGTCATTATATCTGCAAAAAAGATTAAAACATGCATTACAATTTATAAGATTTTTCATGGGTACAGATGATTGAACAAAGATATAGAAATTTTTTGCATACGATCCAGTTACATTGTTGACTCTTTCAATTGCGCGTTCTCTAATCTGTGATGCCTCCAAGTACCTATCTAATTCAGCTTGTGTCCTGAAATAATACAAATATGTCGTAGGGGAAAATACTGAGCATGGATCCTTAAATTATTGAAGGAGACGGTGGAATAAGATCAAGAAAAGGTTACCAGTATAAAAGGGAGTAAGGCTGTCATGATAAGGCTGATATATAGTTGCTCCATTGATGATTTCATAAGACTTGCTTCACTAATTAGATAAGTCGCAATCAATGGCCAATCTGGTACATCATATCTCTTCAAAACTTCCCCTGCTTCTGGAAAACTCCACTCCTGATTTCCAAAATTCACATGAACAAGTGTAAAAAGTTATGATCAAATCAGTTTTTAGGGTTTCTAGTTCCATGTATTATCAATAAACCTTCATTACAATGCCCTAACTGGACATGCTTTGAAGCTTTAAGATGTAACCTAATTAACTCTCCAAATGTGATGGTCAGTTGAATGAAGCTTTGAATCAAATCACTTGTTGAGCAACATAGATGCATCGTTCAGGTCTATGTATGTAATAATCAAATATGAGATATCATACCGAATAGGCGGAGATGACGAGTGAGGGAGGTACAAATAGAATTTCTCCCCCTTCCTGATGTTATTATTCGCAACAAGACCCCTCTCTCCAACATCAACTTTCCGTAGGTCCATTTTTTGAGGTGGCAAACCGGAATCCGTCAACCATTTCTGCAACGAAGCCGCGTTCTCCAGTGAATCTATTTCGCAACCCCAAGGTATCGGCTGAGGAGCTGCGGTAGCCTTAGCTGTATCGCTGCCGCTGGTGGAGATCGTGCAGCGGATGATCGCTGGTGAGGTTTTTCGTTGAGTGATCGTCATAGACCAAGGCTTTCTGAGGGATAAACTTTGGGATAATGAAGGATCATACAAGCCCTAGAAATCGCACCCATGGGTGGTGGTCCATCGGTTAATAGCCTAATACGGTGAAGGTGCAAGCGAACTAGAATGATGAAAAATTTCTTGAAGCATCGAGTATGACACAGTCTCATCGAGTATGATATCAACGAGCAACCACAGTGGATATATTGAACCGGTGTGTTTCTCGTTTCCGTTCGGCGTCACTTCAGAAAACTGGTACACGCCATTTTTCTTTCCTTGCTTTTTTCACGTTTATATTTTTCAGATAGAAGGAAATGAGGTTTTTCCCCTTTATAAAAGACGTAAAAAAGAGAAACAAACTTATAGTGGCATAAATAGCACCGGATTAAATCTTAATAAAACTTTAGTGGCATATAATGACTTGTATGACACATAATTTATAAGCTTTAATGGCATATTAAATTAATATGCCACTATTAAATGAATATTAGTGGCATAAAATGGTAAGTGCCATTAAATCTATCAATATTTATAGTGGCATATAAAATATGTCACTAAAAACATAATATAGTGGCACAAAATGTAACGCCCGTAGATCCGCGCTAGTCAATTTAGAGACGTTAAGCGTCAAAAATGACTTTTGATGGAATATTATTTAGAAGGAGTAATCTTAACTACGTTGTAGTATATGTTACAAGGATTCCGTACATATACAGAACGCCGAAATCCGAGTTATAACCTGTCGAAGTTTCGCGACAGAACCGGCACGACACAGCGCGACGAAAATAGTGAATTTACGGTAGAGCGATATTTAGCCTTAGTGGTCTAAATGAAATTCGTAGAGTTCGTTAAACCGAGAGCGTGCATAAAAAGAACGTCTAAATCTGAATTCGTATGAGGAAGTTATGATTTTTCTAAGTTTCGACTTAGCGGTATGCAGCCCGAAACTCGAATATGAGATCGAGTGATTTTTAGCCGAAACAATCTAAACAAGAATCGAAGATCTCGTCGTTAGTAGTCTAACAGTAAAAAGACAGACGAAAACGGACGTCGGATGAAGAAGTTATGATTTTATAACGGAGTTTTCCTGTCCCGGCCTACTAAAAATAATATAATAAAAATAAAGTCAAAATTAGCCGACGGAGTCTAAATGAAAGTTGTAGATCATAGTCTCACCTATGCGTGGATATAAAGAACATCGAAAACGGAGCTCGTATGTGAAAGTTATGAATTTTTAAAGTTCGAGGCACGCATGCGAAAGCTTATCCGAAGAGTACGCCCAGCGTAACCGAAGTACGCCCAGCGTACTGCTTGTAGAGGCATTACGCCCAGCGTAATCAGGATTTACGCCCAATGTAAATCGGGGTTTCAGCCCCTATAAATAGAAGTCGTGGGCTGCCGAATTTGGTTGCTCATTTCTTTCTCTCTCACTCGTTTTACCTCGTTTTACGTGCAAGCTTTACCCCCGAAGCCCCAGTATCATTCCCGAGACCCGAAGCAAGTCCTGAAGCCCCGAAAATCCTGAGAAATATAGTTTTCGATCCTAAACTCTGCCAGCGTGAAGCCCGGTTTTGGAGAAAACGTCCCGGTTTTATCGGAAAAGATTATTTTAATAGACGAGATGCTGTCCGATCATCGTCTTATCAGGTGAGTGTGTAGTCACTTTCTTCCAACACATAAATATGAAGTATTTGCTATGAAATACGTACTATGTGTTAATAAATTGTTTGTTTGTCTGAGATGGGTGTTGAATATGAAGTTTTGGCTATAAAATATGTGATATGTGTTAATAAGTTGTTTGTTTATTTGAGATGGGTGTTGAATGCAATGTTTGGTACAGGTTTTAAATAAGTTAAATTGTATATGTATTTTATATCTACGAATATGATGGGGAAAACATAGGTAGATAAATGATGAGGTATGAAAGATGATTAAGAATAATATTGGCATATGCACCAAATAGTGAATGTCATAATCCTGGCAGATGCGCTTAAAGGATAATGTTGGCAGATACGTCTAATAGTGAAGGTCGTAATCCTGCAGAGGCGCTTAAAGGATAAAGTTGGCAGATGTGCCTTATGTAGCAATGGATTTTGTGCCAATTCCTTAGGTCAATCCTTAGGAATGAATGAACGAAGGATAGTTGATTCTTAGGGTAAAACCTTAAGAAATAAAGAAGATAATGAGGATGGGTAATTGGGTTGATTGTTTGATGATTGAATATAATAATTGTATTATTGTGGGTTGAAAACCCTATAAGCTCACCAGGCTCCCAAGCCTGACCCACTCAGTTTTCTTTGTATTACAGGAAGTGGCGCAAGAGCATAAGTTGGTTGACATGACGAGAGATAATGGATTATAGACCAGTAGTTATAAATAACTGTTGTAAGATCTATTTTGATATGTTTATGCTTTTGGTCTGTATCGGAACATGACATCCCGAGATTTTGTTATATAATGAAAATACATTTCTTTAAGAAATGCTTTTGATAAATTCTTATCATATTTCGTTTTGGGAACAAATTCCGCAATAGTTTTCTTTAAATGATTACTCTGATTTTAAAATAAAGCATAAACAAACCGGTCTTTTCTGGCCGTGAAAATTGGGATGTCACACAAAAAATTTATGCCATAGAAGATGTATGCCACTAAATGTCAATTTTTTTGTAGTGTATGTATGGTATGTGGTATTTTGAGGAACTCACTAAGCTTTGTGCTTTTTTGTGGTTTAAACATTTTTGGGTACCTCTAGTTTCAAAGGGAAGGACCCGATTTGACTGCACAACATCCCCTGATGGCTTTTCCGCACTGATTGTTATTGTTTTAATTTGATGTTTTAAATATACATTTTACTCTGCTTGGTTTCAAAACAAATGGTTGTATGGATTTGATGGCTTAAAAATGAAAATTTTTGCTGGTATTTTGGTATTTTTAAGACGTTACAAAAAATGGTGGTAATGTTATATGATGGTGGCATACAGTGGTTGCACAGTGGTTACATACGATATAGTGATTCATGATGGATGTATTTGTATTTAACTTGATAATAATTTCTATAAAAATAGAAAAACTTAAAAATCAAAAAAGACAAAATAGGAGCTTTTGCATCATTTCATATGTAGATAACAGAAGCTGGTTAGTCGATAACAGATCCATACATTAAATCTGAAATTAAAACCTTCAACAAAGACATCTTTTAACAAAATCGAAAACTAAAATCAAAACTACAAAATCAAGCCAACCAAAAGAATGTTTTCTCCACATCCAAATTTGAAGTATGATATGTCTATGGATAGCCTTTGTTACATATTATAAAATGAAAAAGAAAAAAAAAACACCCCAAAAATGAAGATCGTATATTAGTATGAAAAGTTATGAAGATTGAAAGATAGGGGGAAAACGGATTTTTTAAGCCACCGCTGTGAAAGTCTGTAGAGATTTTCATAGTAAACATGACTTTTTCGCAGTCAACGGGTCGCAGAACAATGCTGTTTAAAAAAAATAAAAATAAAAATAAAAAAAGAAAACTCACAAATGAGAATGATTTTCGCGCATGGTCATCTGCAATATATATAGTATCGATAATAGTGACTCACCATCGATGCCGTCTAAAACATGTTAGAGATTATATGTCATTAAGTATAATGCAATTATCAATCCACATCAGGTCATAGAAATTTTATTTGTGTCAGGACTCAAAACTTACGTATACACTACTATAAATCTTCATTTTTAGCTAAAATTGCAGATTGCAAATTGTATATGAAAAATAGTGTTTCGACCAAAATATGCACGAAGAGTTTTAAAAGATGTTCTTAAATTACAAAAGTAACATATTTTAATTAGTCTTGTTCTATGTCTTTCCTTTTTAAGTTTTGTTTTCGAAGACATGCATATAACCCGAAGCGGAATTAATAAACACTAGCAGCAAAGAAATATAATCTTTAAAATGAATAATGATCGCTGCAAGGCCTGGTCTAGTTTTTGGTCCGTTTTAGCTCATTTGGTTGGCCCATTCCGTGTCTCTCCCCCAAAATGTGTTTAGGCTTTGACGGTCTTCTGAATCTATGCCGATCATCTAAATTTTCATTAACAATAGTTTCCAATTATTTAAAGGAAAAAGTCTCCACAAACATTCATGAAGTTCTTTTTAATACTTTACATTTACATATATAAAAATGGATACATATTAAAATTAAATACTATTGCTAGATATAGCAATTCCTAAAGTACTGTTGGATTTTATTGTTTGGACAAAACTTGGTATATGACAAATGACAGGATGACTACTTTTTTAGTTCATCCAGGGTTGGTCCTAGATCCAATTGTCGGGTTGGTTTGTTATGCCCATCTCTACATAGAGGGGACATTGAGTCTAGTTGATGGGAATTGCCCGGTGCATAGATCCTGCCACTTTTAAGTGAGTCTCACCATATATATAATTAAAAAGCTCTCCAAATATTTATATTTTTATTAAAAACCCTTCTTTGGCACCGACTTTTACAATAAATTAACACCCCTATATAAAAAAATTTACAAAAATAAAATCTAAAAATACTTAAAGTTTTCAAACTTTTACGCTATTATATATTTTTTATGAACAATGGACATCGGTTACATATCGTTCCAGACCCGCCACTGGCCAAAAGGTTGTCCCAGGGACTTGTCCCGCGTATAGGTTATCCCAAAATATTGAAGAAAATTTTTACATACGACATGTCTCTCAACTTTTTTTTTATCACATATCTTTCATAGGCACTGGTGTCTGTGGTGACATGACATCTAATAATCGATGGACATTGGTTTTAGCTTGAGCACAACACCACTCTTGTGTCTCCAACGCTCTACAAGTGTTCACAAGAAGCACTTATGTTTCACTTTTTTGGCCTCCATTGGTTTTCGTGTTCAAATTCTTTTTCGTGGCATAAAATTCCTACCCGACCTTCACTGGCTACATGTTACCTCCATATATTTATTTTTTCAAAAAAACGTTTTGTTTAGAGGGCCAAGTCGCCTCCATACATTCGGTTGTGCTATAGAGGGGACCTTTCTTGCTTGTGTAGGGTCGCTTCCATAGGGTCCATTTCTTGTAGTGACATAAGTATTTACATGATGCTTGGTTACAACGACTACGGTTTTATAGGGCAGGACCCGATACTTGTTACACAATTTTGGCTTAAACATGGGACCCGTTATTACTAATTAATAGCCAGGGACCCGGGTTTTGCCGACCTTTATCATTAAACAGTATATGAGATATTCTTTTGCCAAAATTAAAGATATTGATTAAGAGTTGATAAAAACTTGCAGTGACGGATAATTGAAGCAAAAGCTAGCATTACCAGCCACCTTAATTACATCAACATGCACACTTTATTCTTCATAATTAAACAAACCCCACCTATGAACCAAATCTTTTATTACCTGCAAACCCTAGCTAGCCCGCATGTTCCCTTTCATAAAACCCTAGATATTACCCAACACATGCTTGCCACGTGGCCAAGGCTGGCATTGATTACACACTGACTCGGTCCCATATGGGAGTTTGAAAAACCTAATTAACCGAAATCAGAAACAGTACAATTAGGCCAAAGATCAGAAGCACCACTTCTACTCCTCAGCTGCAACAGCTTCTTCTTTCTTCTTAACTTTCTCTTCTGGTTCAGTATCGACTTTTTCCGCCTCATCTGGCTCGGTTTCAATTTCTTTCTTGGTTTCATCTGATTTAGCTTCTGGTTCTTTGGTTTCTTCGGCCTCTGGTTCTGGCTCTGGTGCCACCTTTGCAGGTTGTTCCACAGGGCTAACCTTACCTTCTTCTTCTTTATCTTCATCGTTGAGCACTAACTTGGTTTCAGCCTCAACTGCAAGGGCTTCAGATTCGGCTTGAGGTGCAACCGTGTCAGCAGGTTCTTTAGCAAGCTGGTCTTCTTCTTGTGGTGTAGTTACTGTTGTTTCTTGATCATCTGTGTTCTTGATGTCGTCTTCAGGTTTCATAATTAGTTGATCTTCTATTTTCTCATCATGCAATGCTGTTGTTGCGAATACAACCTGCATGATTCGAAGAGTAATCCATTCACCTCACTAAAAAATTATTTGCGACTAAGCCGCTTAAATACTTTAGTCTTTAGCTATCTTTTTTCTATGACCCTTAAAAGGGTCGGACATCTAATCTTGATTGGTGTTAAAAGATATATTAATATATATTATGTCATGTGGTCTCGTTAAAAAATGTAATGGTTTTTAAAAGTTGGTAACTCTTAAACGCACGTTAATTATATTGTCGAACATGAAGATTGATTAACAAATACAATTTATAAAACCCATTAGGGTTTATATGAAAAGAGAAAGTTACCTGAGCAGTAGCCACTTCTTGTAGATACAAACGCAGAGAAGAAGAATGGGAGGATGTTGATTAATGGAGTTTTGAGAGTGAGGAGAAATGGAAGTGGAAAAGAGGTTTATATAGACTTGTGGTTGATGAGAGAGAAATTAATTCATTCTAAGGTGTAATCATTTACACAAACTTTAATGTATCTGAAATATTCTTAATTTACAAATTTATCTTCAAATAATTTATTGATCAAGTTATAATATAAAATATACATTTTTTATCTTTTGTTTTTATTTTATTTCTCATTTATGAAAAATAATAAAATACGCAATCCATTAATTTTTTCTTATAATTTCAATTTTGATTTGACATTTATTTTAATCTACGAATAGAAACATAAGTAAAAAAAATAAGTAAATACAAAAATGAAAGGATATCTAATTTCTTTAAAATAATAATGGGTTTTTATACATTTAGCAATAATAATTTATTTTTGATAAACATATATATATATATATATATATATATATATATATATATATATATATATATATAACACATTACAGCTTATAAATAGTGTCAGTATTGAGCAACCTCCAATACCACCTGGTTTGGAGCCGGTAGCTCTTTGGAATAGCTGACGCTCCTCTGTTTCCCACATATTCATCTACCTTTTTGTTTACAACTCCCCTTCTATCTGGTAACACCCTTGGCGGTGGGTAGTTGAAGGAAAAAGAAAGAAGGATCACAGAGAAAGAAAAAAGAACATAAAGTAATACCTTGATTTATAGAAACTGTTGAATCTTACCTGAAATCAAGGTTACAGGTCGGTTAGGGCTTCAAAAAGAACAATATGCATATTTGATTTCAGGTTTAGAACTGATAAAAATGGTGATGGGAGGTCAATGTGAAACGAAGGGAATAAGTTAAGTTGGACCGCCAACATCTTCCATTCGACCGGATTTGCATACAATCCAACCCTGATAAGCGATTGATTCTCTCTCCTTCTTCTAGGTCGTTGCTCTGCCGCCTTCCTCATTCTCTTATTGGCGTCATCGGTCTGCATCCCAATACCCTCATCAGTGTTGTTTCATTTGTTCTTCAGTTTTTGAAGGAGGACACGTAAAGAAAATCAACATCATCTCCACCAACATTATCAGCTTCGAGTGTGTGACAGACTGTTGTTTGATAGAACACGATTGCATCATGTGATTTAAAGCATTGGTCTTGCAGGCTTTCATCCGATTTTATCTACACTCTCCAAAACGATGATGATGGTTTACACACAAAGAGGTGTAATATATTCGAATATGTGCCCTCTACTATCGTCCTTCTCTATTTCTCATTTTTTTCCTCTTTTTCGTTTTTCTCTTTGGAAATCAGTTTGTTGTTTTCATGTTGTTTCTTAAGGATGTTGTTTGTTGCTCCTTGCCAATAAAAATCGACGCCTTTTTTCTATAGTGGAACATGATTCCATCATGTGATTTGAAGCATCACTCTTACAATGACTTTAGCTTAAATCTCAACCCTCCAATCTACATCATACCAGTTGATCAGCATGTTTGTTAATGTTTATATTGCAGAGACTAGACAACCATTACAAGTGCAATTACAAGGACTATGTTGCTTTTGAAGAAGCACTAGTACAAAAACGGGATTTCGTCCCACGACAAATGAGTGACTGTATGCATACAGCCACACATTCGTTTTCACTGCATGTGTAACTGAAGGTCGAGTGACATAAAGTACACACAGTCACATTAGCGAGTTAGTGGTCGTATCCATTTAAAAAGAGTAGCGAAAGGCATAAAATGAGAGACCAAATGGTTTCAAATGTCATGAAAAAGTATATTTTGAGTGACGTTAATCCATCTAATTGCCACATGAATTTGATGTTTGTGTAATCTTATGTATATATGGTGACACAACCATTGGTTTTTTTTGGGGATTCCATCACTTACAAATAAGCAATGAGTAGCCTAAAGTGTTAAAAAGAGTGATCAAATGTATTAATAATCTTGAGAAAGTGTATTTTTGAGTGACGTTATTCCATCTACTTGCCACATGAATATGATGATTGTGTAGCCTTTTGTATATTTTGTGACACGCCAATGGTTTTTTTAGGGGGATTTTGTCACTAACAATTAAACAATGAGTGGCCTCACGTGTTAAAAATAGTGGCCAAATGTATTAATAATCTTGAAAAAATATATTTTGAGTGACGTTAGTCCATCCAATTACCACATAAGTATGATGTTTGTGTAGCCTTTTTTATATTTGGTGACATAATGATTGTGTGGCGTTTGGTATATTTAGTCGCTCTGAAAAATCCATTATTTGTGTGACAATAATGATTATATATATATATATATATATACTTATAAAGCTAACATTTTTTCTTGAATCTCATGCATTTGAAACCCCCTTTTTTAACTTCTTCAAACCACATTCATTTGAAACCCCATTTTTTAACTAATGCAACTCAAACGTTTTCTTATTTATGATTTAACACTCAAAAGTTTTATAACTTATATTATGTTTAATTAGCATTTAGTGAAAAGTTTACTATAAAAAGGCCAATCTTTTGTGTCTTTTGTGTTATATAAAATCTTACATGTAAGAAGGATTTGAAGATATTGTGATTCAAAAGTTTTCATATAGTTGAAGCATTCACGATCCAAATATGATGATTTGAAGAAATGGGTTATGTCGCATCGATGGTAATTGTAATATGATTTTTTCTTTCAACCAAAACAAATGAAGCTTTTCTATTCTTTCTTTATATTCAGTTACTCATTTAATCTTTATATGTGATTTGTGTGTATTACTCAATCTTGAATGTGACTCTCCAAACATCAATGTTTTGCTTGGAATATCTTTCTGATTCTTCTTTTTCAAGAAAAATATTATGATTGCAGGTTAGTGAAGAAATTGTCATCAAGTTTCTATGGTTGAATGGTGTTAAATGAAGAAAGAAGATTCATAAAATGGATATATGTTTTTTTGTTTGAGCAAAGTTGACGAATGTTAGTTTTTTCTTTTGATTTAAATGTATGTTTATGTAACATCTTTATTTATATATTCAACCACCCAATGTTCTTACTTATTTGATTGTAGTTTTCTATTTTGATTATGTTTATTTTCTATTATTTTTTTGTTGGGTTATCCTACACAACATATTTAAAAGACAATATTTAAAAGATAACATAATTTTGAACATTTGATATGTAATTATGATAGACTTATCATCATATGTTCTTCATATGAAAGTAATTTATCCATATTACTACGGCAAGAATTACATATGACATTTACGAAAATATATATATTATATGTGATTTGTTTAACATGTATATGCACCTATGTATGTTATAAATTTATAATTAAATATCTTTATGTTTAATAATTGAAGGGATTAAAATGATGCATCAAAACCAATTATTTAGACGAATATAATAATAATAATAATAATAATAATAATAATAATAATAATAATAATAATAATAAATATACATTTCCAAGTACCGCATTCATTTGAAACTCACACTACAACTCAAGAGTTTTCTAATTTATGTATATTTATTAGTTACAACTTAAAAGTTTTTAACTTATGATTATTAATTAGTAATCACTAATAACTTTTTATTTTCCTTTCTTTTATAAGGTTGTAAAGTTTTGCTCATTAAAAACATTAATGTATTTGAAGAGATTTGTGATTTAAATATGAAGAGTTAATACAAATGTTATAATAGATGTTTTAGTGTTTTTATGTTATTAAAAGTTATAGTGTTTATTTTTCATATTTTTTATTATTCGTTGTATATATATCTTTTTTAATACAAATGTTATAATATATGTTTTTCTATTTTTATGTTACTAAAAGTTGCAGTTCATATTTTTGTTCATAAGTTTTGTTACCCGTTATATTATCATTCATTTGATATATAATTTACACAATTTTAAGCGGTTTATAAAATTATCAAATAATTGTATATATCACAATGACTTAAAAATTAAACTATAATGTTTAATAAAAATAATATGTTAACTATATGTTTGCTTTACTACTAACATTTTGTTTCAAAGTAGAAATATTAAATAATAATTTGGTAAAAGTTATTATTTTAACTATATAATTATATTCACGCGCAACGCGCGGGGATTCACCCAGTATATATATATATATATATATATATATATATATATATATATATATATATAATATATATATATAGATATATATATATATAGAGAGAGAGAGAGAGAGAGAGAGAGAGAGATAGAGAGAGAGAGAGAGAGTCCATCCAATGGCCACATAAATATGATGTTTGTGTATCCTTTTGTATATTTAGCGACACAACCACTGGTTTTTTTTGGGGGATTTCGTCACTAACAATTAAACAATGAGTGTCCTAAGGTGTTCAAAAGAGTGACTATATGGTTTTTAAAGTCACGTAAATGTGTAAACTTTTGTATATTTGATGACACAACGGTTGTGTGGCTTTTGGTATATGTACTCACTCTAAAAACACCCACTATTTGTCTCACAATATATGATTATATATATATATATATATATATATATATATATATATATATATATATATATATATATATATATATATATGTTTGTTTATTTATTTATTTATTTATTTATTTATATAAAACAAATCAAAAGGAAAAACACAAACCCAATAAATAATTTACATAATTAATTAATTCAAAAGTAAAATTGTAACTTCCTACAAATTAAATAAAATCCTAAAGTAATATATCAAAAAGATCTATATAACATTTAATAATGACAAAACTGCACAATTGGTCCCTGTGGTTAGCTGAAAAGTGCCACTTTGGTCCAAAAAAGTTTGGACTAGCACCAGAGGTCCAAACTTTTCATTTTCTTGCGAGTTTGGTCCAATTTGCTTTAAACATTTTTATAATGACAATTTTGCCCATGAATTTATCCTTTGTATTTTCTTTTTTGAATATTTTTATTATAGAAATTAAAAAAAATACTCTCTCTCTCTCTCTCTCCGTTACAATGTCCACATCTCTCTCTCTCTCTCTCTCTCTCTCGTTGAAAGTCAATGAACAAATAGAGAAACTGTAAAACTTCTTTCCCTTCTGATCAAAGTAATATACACGAAAATATGTAAACCTTATTTCTACATAATCTTCATCTTCCTTTGACTAATTCACCATTAACCCACCTCGTCACCACCACCAACGGAAACAACCATCGTCACAATCTCTCTTATCTTTTGACCGGAGCAACCCGAAATGTTGTGTCTCCGACCACCTGATGACACCCACAACAGCATCACCACCACTCCTCTGAATCTGTGATGCCGACGAGAGGAGAAAACGGGCAAACACATCGACCACAATCGATTGTGGCAGTTCTTTAAATAATTTCTATAAATCGAGTCCAAAGAGCCATTGCTAAGCCCAAATTACGAAACCCTAGTGTTAGAGAAGAAGGATTCTACATCAACGACGGAGAAGATGGATCATCGTTGCAAACCCTAGCTCACCCCTTTCTTAGATCTTTCATCATCGGAGAAGAAAGGTTATCTGAAGGCGCACAATCTGTTTAATCTTTGTTCGATCTTCGTCTCCGACTGTGTATCTTTTTTCTTCTTCTATCTCGATTGGTGAGCA